TCATTTTGCTATCACGGCTATTTGATTCCCTGATTTCAGTTGTATGTCGGAGTATATGCAGGAGTTGATATCAATGACCAAATTTCGAGCCGTTACTATGAAAATATTTTGCTGGCCTCCCTGGAAGATGTTGAGAAAAGTTTGTAGCGCGAGAGAAAGAAACTACGTCCACCCTCGATTAATAATTTCAAACGTGGCCGACAGATGGAGCCACGCTATGTTCGTTGATGTCGGGATCTTCGCCTTTCTTTCCCACAGCTCCGGGCGGACGTTCATTGGTTGATTCGGGACCAACTCGATCCTCGGGTACAGGAACTGTCTAGTGGCCCGACTTGGTAGAGTTGTGCCACGTCGAGCGACGGTCTGAAAGCCGCCGGAGCACATATCTTGAAAAGGACTCGGCCTCCCAACATGGCGCAGGTGTTATGTCCCACAGCATGTCCTGGGCTTGGAGACACGTGATCACTCCGTGATTTATACCTTTCGACTCAGTCGGAACTATGGCAATTCGCGGTCGGTTATTTCGCCAGTTCCGGAAGCGAGCGATAACCCGACGGTATCTCAGTCCGCGATAGTCTGTCGATGTATGCCCGGCCGTCAACCCTTCGCTTCCGTGTTCCAACTACGTCAACGCTGGGCCGTCCTTGGCGAGTCCTACCGCGGTGACATCGGGACGAGGTCCACACATGCAGTTGATGCCAGGAATGGGATCCGTTTAGGTCGTCAAGTGGGAGCTTCTTCTAAAGTATAAACTCAACTGTGGGAAGCCGTGTGTCCCGGCGGCTGGGTGGAGCACTGAACTCTGGCAAGTGCCCGGCAGAGCTCCCAGAGATCGCTGATTATAAGGAAGCTACTCTCACACACCGTTGCGCGGCAATTACCAACATTTTAACGCTCACTTTTAAAAAATAGATGTTAAAATTATAAAACCAATTCCTACCAATCTTATACTGTAATTATACGGCATAGTGGCGAACTCCCTCCCTTCCTCCCTGCTCATGTTCCTCTGCCCCCCGAACTAAGGTTGAGAATAATGAAGCAACCACACACAGCAAAGCTAGATAAAATTAAAACGTTAAAGTTTGTTTTAGAATATAAACTAATAGTTCAACACGACAATTTTATATTCTTCAGGTTTAAATACAACTGCACCGCCATCTGTGGGTTAGAAAAGAAACTAGAGAGCGATTCTCTCTTTTCCAAAAATGAAACAAATTCCAACTGTTGGAACTCATCAGTGGCAGTTGAACAGACCAATTCTCGGTGATTTACTTGGAGAACTGCAGGGAAATGTAGCGCCGCAGTCTGCATCTATTTGGGTGCAAAAAGGAGCCAAGTAGCTTTTTGTTAGATTCTGAGTTGGTCACACTGCCCCTATCAGTTGTCCGCCAAGTGACCTTGGCCAGGATCGGCCTTTAATTCTGAAACGAAATAGAAAATCCAGGCAACGTCATGATATTCTGGACCCCTACCCCATAGTATATTGTACACACCATCATGGTTGGAAACATTTCACTGAACGCGACAATTAGAAGGTAAATGTTTATCTATTCCCTCTCTGCTGATTTTAAAAGCTTGTTTCTGATTGGCTGCTGGGCGCTTCAGACATCTTCCTATTACTAAAGTAGTTAGATATAATGTTGTGTTATATCCGTGTTACGTAATTGTATAAATACATGTTTTATACACGTGTTTGATTGACACTATTTAAACCCGCTAGCTATATGTATAAATGGAAACAATTCTCGCTACTAAATAATTTCAAAAATTATATATATATAAGAGAAAAGTCTATACGACATTATATAGGTCGAATGTTTCCATTTTTGGGTTACGTTTGTCGTGTTTAGTTATCTATTGGGTCAAAAGTTGACAAAGTTATTATTAATAGAACGTTCCAGTTGCCTGCGCATGGCTTAGATGAACAAAAAAGCCATCTTCTGCTCTCTGTACGCTCCACCGGGGTTAACTAAATAAATAATTGTAGGTCTAACACAGGCTAATAACACAATTAGGCTTATTCGGTGAGATACTCATTTCATCAAGACTTTACATTATCTTTTGTTTTTAAAATGGCGCCCAGAGGCATTACAAATTATTGTTACTAAATGAAAAATTAAATATTTGTTCTTTTGTTTTGAATTTCTTTTATTATTATAGACAAGCTTTTATTATTATTTGATGACATTCAAATGACTTTAAAATGTGTTTCCTTTATAATAAATTGTGTAAATCTTAATATTTCTTTAAATATACTAATCGGAGAGAGCATTCGCAAATTCTATAATTATAATTATCATAACAATATTAAATTCTACGATACCTTTTAACTCCTCCATGCATCAACTTTTAAATCTCTTTTTTTTTTTCATTTTATTAAAGCAGGATTTCGTAGTAAATTTTTATTTTAACAAATACAGAATATTTATTTATCATATTAACCGCGCATAAGAACATTTTGTTTACATTCTAAATATGATGATAAATATAGAAAATTCTTCAACGAAATAAAAATTTCATTCATCAATCACAAATATAATCTTTAGATTAAATTTTTAAGACTATAAATTTAACGCAAAAACTTATAACTTTTATAATATTTTAACAACTTGCTTAACTGCTCATTAAATTTTTAAAAGATATTTTTAAATATTACATGCATAATTTGTATCGAATTGAAAAATAAATTAAATATTGAGCTGTTTTCTGAAAAATAATAATTTACAGAAATATAGAAATATATTACTGTTATAATATGGATTTTAAAATTTGAAATTATATATATATATATATATATATTATATATTATATTGCGTGGACATTATAATTTGAACGCCAATTTGTACATGAAAAACAATTTGATGATTCTAAATTTCATGTTATAAATATTAAACTACGATTATTATATATTTAAGATTTTTCTTTCTTCACTTTTTTAAGGAGAAAAGATTTGTTGTGTGTTGTGTGGAGGGCCAAATTATATAAGTAATATAATCTTCATTTTGCTATATGCAGCACAATGGAAACAGCTTTAAAGGAACTTATTTGGTTAAACGCAATTTTCCAATATACCCCTAGTTTGTATATTAAATAGAAACGTCAGGCCTTACAGGAAAGGACATGTGTGTGCCTCGGGGTTAGATAATCCGCACAATTTGCAACATCATTTCATCTAGGATTCATACAATGAGGCATTCTTACAGATCCTGTTATAGGTATATTATATGAATAAATGACCATTTTTGGCTTGAATACTTCCACCATGTACAGTGAATTTCCGTTATTAAGGTCAATTTTTGTCTTGGTAAATATGTTCGATAATATTTGATATACGACAGAATTGTATGTAATATCCCCACGTGATAACGTCAAAATAATAACGTTTTCTTTGTCAATTCATTGCATTTAAATGTTTTCATTAAAAATTCTA